TCTATGAGCTTTTAGTTTAACCTCACTGTTATTCTCACCGAATGATTCACAGAGCCCCCATACGCTTCCTGTTCCTCCCACTATAGGAGCTCTGTTTGGAGGGGGGAGGTGCTTAGAATCCTGAGGTTGTGAGTTTAAAACTCAGAGGGTAACTTTGGTGGCTCTGCACTGGTGACGGAGGAACGACAATAAAAGCTGGAAGAAAAAACCAACCTGTAGATTTGGTCATCTGGCCTGTTAGCTTCAACGCAAACAAGGAAATAATGATATAATGATGCTATTTAAACCTTATGGAACAGTTCTCCGTTACGCAAACAGCATCACAATAACGCTCGGAAATACTACGGTTGCGTTAAACTGCAGGAATAGATGTTAAAGTTCGCAGCAGCGGCACCATATTTATTTTCACCTACAGTATAAAACTCAAACCAGATGAATTCTCAGCTTATTGTTTAAAATGTCTGATCCTGCAGGAAGTCAGAGCGTTTAGTTATCGTTTGTCCCTGGTTCTGACGGCGGAGCGGATCTAGGCGGACTGAGCTGGAACCCGGTTCCTGCAGCGCCACTGCGCCCAGCTACACATGGAGGCAGTGAGGTTTCAGTTTGCTGGACAAAGGAGCGACGACTGGTTCAGGCGCTGGGTTTTATCACCTGAAAGTTAAATAAACAACCAATGAAGTCATAAAAGATTTATACCTGGCAGATCTGGGATAAAAAGGCTGCGTTCCGCCTGCAGAAGCTGCGCTGATGGAGGGGGGCCGCGCTGCAGGTCACAGACCAGTTTAATCCGGTTCACCGCCTGCATTATATAACAGCCTGTCCCTTAGAGCAACGCTTTAAAACACTCAATCAGACATTTGCAAATTTCTTATTCGCTGGTGTTTGGCAGCTTCCGTTCCCGCTGACAGACTGGGCATCGAATAAACCTGAATGAAGGGAAAGGTTGGACTCTGTTCAGACGGATTATTGATGCCCAACATGGAAAGAAAAGCACTGATTGTTATTCTATTGATTGATTGACTGAAGAAATGTCTGAATTAAACCAACTAAAGGTCAAAGGTTATGGACCCAACCAAGCTTAGCATAAACCACCAAAAAAAGCCAAACGTGCCGAAATAAAACAAATGTTCTGCTCTGCTAGCGTGACATGGAGGAGGAGGAAGATGAGGAAGAGGAGCAGAGCGATGTGAGGCGGCTGCTTCATGCTGATTGGCAGACTGACAGTCGGTGGATGAAACAAACTGGTCTCGGTTTTCCTCCCATCCACAGACGCAGCTCCATGTTTACGGCGATCGGTGCACGGCTGTCCGTCTGGGAGGCGAAACGGAGAAAAACAGAAAAAGTGTTTCTAAAGGAGAGAGAGGAATCTGCTTCATGCGAAGAAACATTATCCGGCTGCTAACTGACAGCGCATCAGGAGAGGCTGCTGAGTTAGAAACAAACCCATTTATGGAAGCAGCTTCCTGGGAAGCCGAGTCAGCGCTGAGAAAGACGCTAAACATGGCCGCCCATACTTGGAGTTATGAGGATATTGAATTTCTCCCATCAGCTCCACATATTGGCCATAAAAATGGAAACAGCAGCATTTTAATGGCATCTTTCCAGGAAAACACAAACAGCAGCAAATATCTGCCCCACATTCTGCAGCTGAACAGTTTTACTGCAGCTACCAAGAGAAGAGAAGATATGTCATGGATATAAACATTAGACTTAAATAAAACTTTATTGTATCTCCTTGGTCTTCTCCACCTTCAGGATCAGGATGTTATCTCTGCTCCACCAGCTGCTCCACCTCCTCTCTGTCGTTGTCGTCTCTGATGAGGCCCACCACCGTGGCGTCGTCTGCAAACTTCACCATGTGATCGGTGGTGAACCTGGGGACGCAGTCATGCGTCATCAGGGTGAACAGCAGGGTGCTCAGGACGCAGCCCTGAGGGGAGGGGCTTAGACTGATGACATCAGAGGTCCGACCCGGACTGACTGAGGTCTGTTGGTGAGGAAGTCTAGCAGCCAATAGCAGAGGGGTGTATTGAAGCCCAGCTGTTCCAGTTTGCCCATCAGATGCTGTGGGATGATGGTGCTGAAAGCTGAACTGAAGTCCAGGAACAGCATCCATCGTGGGTGTTCTTCTCCTCCAGGTGTGCCAGGCTCAGGTGGAGAGCAGCAGAGATGGCGTCCTCAGTGGAGCGGTTCCGTCGGTAGGCGAACTGGAACGGGTGGAATGTTGGCGGCAGACTGGAGACGATGTGTTCTTTAACCAGCCTTTGGAAGCACTTCATCATGATGGGAGTCAGAGCGACAGGCCGCTAATCATTGAGGGAGGCGACCTGAGGCTTCTTTGGGACTGGAATAATGGAGGCAGACTGGAAGCATGCTGGCACTATGGATTGGTCCAGCCAGGTGTGAAAGATGTCTGTGAGGACACCAGCCAGCTGATCTGCACACTCCTTATACACCTGCCCAGGTATGTTATCAGGCCCTGGGGCCTTCCTTGGATTGACTCTCCTCAGAGTTTTCCTCACTTCAGCTACGTCCAGGTTTAGTGGCTCCTCCCCCTGGTGTGGAACAGCTTTCACTGCTGGAGGCTGGTTAGTGCCTCAAACCTTCCAAAGAAATTGTTCAGTTCATTTAGGAAGTCAGTGTTTGCTGCATCTACTGGGGGGGAGGGTGTGTTGTAGTCCGGTATCATCCGAATGCCATTCCACATCCTCCTGGTGTTGCTGTCGTCATGGAAACAATCCTGGATCTTCTGGCTGTGGTTCTTCTTTGCTGATCTGATGGTTTAAGTTGGCACGCTCTGTTCTCAGTGCCTCTTTATCACCTTTATCGGCCTGCATCACTGTTGTCCTCAATGCATTGGTTGATGTAGGCTGACACAGTCATGGCATACTCATCAATATTCAATAAGTTGTCATGTTGCTGCAGCCTTGAAGATGTTCCAGTCAGAGCATAAAGAGTTAGAGTCAGGCCACTGGGTGGACTGGAGGGGCTCCTGTTTGGTATCAGAATGAGGACCCTTCACTCCTCATGCTTCTGCTTGGGGAGCAACGGGCATGTTTAGGGTGGAGCTGTGAGTCCAGTTTAGGTTCAGGGTCAGAGTGGGGGTGGGGTTAGGGTGGGGTTCAGGGTGATGGTGGGGTTAGGGTGGGGTTCAGGGTCATGGTGGGGTTAGGGGTCATGGTGGGGTTAGGGTACTGCTTCTGTCCATTATTGTCTCTCAATAATTGTTTCCTTCCAGTTTCTGCACTGATACAGTATTAATCCCCCCCACACACACGTCTGGTTTTCTATCCTCGTGGGGACTTCCAGTCATTTCTAAACCCTTTCTAAAGCCTAAGCCTAAACTAAATCCATACCTTAGTCCTAAACCTACTGTAACACCTAAGCCTAAAGCAGCATTCGTCCCCCCTGCCTGAGCAGAGGGATAGAGGGCAGGATGGGGCCAGCCTGGATGGACACCACTGAATGAGGGGGCACGGCCGAGTCCCCGAATGTCCCCGGGTCCAGGAACGGCCCCTGACCCCCGACAACGTCTGCTCCTCCCACACCAAGGGCCACACGCCTAACCTGAAGATCTCGCCTCAGAAATCAGTTTTTAGCCGCTTCTCTGTGGCCAAGCTTAATAAACCCCCAAAGGCAACCAGGCTGATCCAACGAGGAGATGGAAGATTCAGGTCTGGATCGGTTAACCGTGCCGATTTAGGACTGAGTTTGGATCGGTTAACCGTGCCGAGTTCAGACTGAGTTTGGATCGGTTAACCGTGCCGATTTCGGACCGAGTTTGGATCGGTTAACCGTGCCGATTTCGGACCGAGTTTGGATCGGTTAACCGTGCCGATTTCGGACCGAGTTTGGATCAGTTAACCGTGCCGAGTTCGGATCGGTTAACCGTGCCGAGTTTGGATCGGTTAACCGTGCCGAGTTTGGATCGGTTAACCGTGCCGAGTTCGGATCGGTTAACCGTGCCGATTTCGGACCGAGTTTGGATCAGTTAACCGTGCCGAGTTCGGATCGGTTAACCGTGCCGAGTTTGGATCGGTTAACCGTGCCGAGTTCGGATCGGTTAACCGTGCCGAGTTCGGATCGGTTAACCGTGCCGATTTCGGACCGAGTTTGGATCGGTTAACCGTGCCGAGTTCAGACTGAGTTTGGATCGGTTAACCGTGCCGAGTTCGGATCGGTAAACCGTGCCGATTTCGGACCGAGTTTGGATCAGTTAACCGTGCCGAGTTCGGATCGGTTAACCGTGCCGAGTTTGGATCGGTTAACCGTGCCGAGTTTGGATCGGTTAACAGTGCTGAGTTCGGATCGGTTAACCGTGCCGATTTCGAACTGAGTTTGGATCGGTTAACCATGGCGAGTTCAGACTGAGTTTGGATCGGTTAACCGTGCCGATTTCGGACCGAGTTCGGATCGGTTAACCGTGCCGAGTTTGGATCGGTTAACCGTGCCGAGTTTGGATCGGTTAACCGTGCCGAGTTTGGATCGGTTAACCGTGCCGATTCCGAACTGAGTTTGGATCGGTTAACCATGGCGAGTTCAGACTGAGTTTGGATCGGTTAACCGTGCCGATTTCGGACCGAGTTTGGATCGGTTAACCGTGCCGAGTTCGGACCAAGCTTGGATCTTTAGTTAAATGTGCCGAGTTCGTACTGAGTTTAATTGGTTAACCGAGTTCAGACCCAATCGGTGTGTAAGCAGGCCTGTTAGCTTCTGTACGTAGCACCTATTGAGCTAAACTACCTCATTTAGGGCCTTTTTGGAGCCTTTGTCTCAGTTTATTAATATTGTGTGCGATGGCAGCCCACTGCTGCCCAAGGGATGGGTTAATGCAGGTAAATTACTCCAATGTGAGATGAATAATGTTCAATTATTATTTTAGAAATACGATAATGAGGTAGATGGTCACGGCGTCCAGGTGCTGCTGGGTCTGGAGAAGACCTGACCCAGCAGATGAGAACCAAGGCTGCACACCTGCTGCTGCACAGAGATGGACTCACCAAAGTCAGCCAGTTTGAGCTCTCCGCTGTCGCTGATGAGCAGGTTCTGTGGTTTCAGGTCCCGGTGAAGAATGTAACTCTGGTGAATGTAGGACAGGCCCCTCAACAGCTGGAAGAGAAAGAGCTGGAAAACAAGGGAGAAGGAATGAACCAAGGGGAGGAAGAACAAACACCTCACCCCCCCTAGCATCATCCTCCCCGTCTGACCCACATTCCTCCATCAGAATCACCGCCGCCTGCGCAGCGCTCCACACCTCATAGTCTGCTCCAGACCATCGCTGCATTTATTTAGCTTCTTAACATAAATCAAGGGGTTCACTGCAGCTTTTCATCTGGCTCTGCCAGCAGGTGCATGCAGGTAAGGGACAGAAATAAAGGTGCAGGTTGGGATTCATCTCTGCAAAGGCTGGAAATGACTGGAGAGGAAGAAGACGGGCTGTAGGAGCTCTTTTTTTCCGGAAGTAAACACGGATGGTAGCGCCGGCGTGCATCTAGTGATCTATTCCAACCATAAAAACTCATTCTATTCAAGATGGTCAAACATCAATACTGCTCTCCGCATCATCGTCCTCCATGGTTGTTGTTTTTCTTGCCGCTTCTTCATAGCAAGAAGCAGAATAGTGACTTTTGTCGGGTATTAATGGCTTCCAGGTTGGATGAATGGTCGCATTCATCCATTGTAAAGATCTGATTCGTATCGGATTCATGACCACAGAGCCAAGTGTTCTGGGTCGCATTGGAAAAAATCTCATCTCTGTTGTTCAGACAGACATGAAAAGATCAGATCCAGGTCGCATATGGGTAAAAACAAAACGGATTTGGGTCACTTCAGACTGCAGAGTTAACTTAGCCTTAGATCGTGCTGATTGGCTGCCCTCACAGGTGCTGGCTTAACTTTCTGAAGGACTGGTGTGGACATGTCCCCACCAACTTTGAAATGGGTGTGGACACGTCCCCACCAATAAGTAGTCCATTTGTGTTGGACTCATTTACTTTAGCCATCAACAGTAACCTCAGGACGCGCCCGGCTGTGTGTTTCCTGCGTTTCTGTCTCGCTCTCCCGCTGAGTCCCCTGAGTCCCGCCCACTGATATGACATCATTGGATCCTCTGTCCATGGCTCCATGTCTGTCACTCTATGATAGAACATGATTGGCGATCTATTCACCGCGTCATCAGTAGCTCCGTGATTGGAGGACAGACGACACACAGCAGCATCATTAAAGGAAAATTCCGGTTTTTAACACTTTTAGCCCATTTTCTGTAGTGTCCAGGATGAAATCGAATGATCGACACCAAAATTTTGATGATTGGTCCTGTCTCTGCTATTTGGCTCATGCAGAATCCCCCCCTGGCTGCTTCAGAATGGCTTCCATAGTGCATGTCCGATAATGTCCTTAAAACAACCTTAACGTTCTTTTTTTAAAATATGCTACTCACCGGGTCGTCAGCGCTGTTCAATGACGTTCCAAAAAAAGTTTTGTGAAGAAAAAACGTTCCTGTAGTGTTTTATTTAGCATTTTGTAAATCCCAGAACTATTTTTTCCGATACATCACAACCGCTTATAAACTTCCGCTTCCCGTTCGAATCTGGAGCGTTGCACACTCCAGACCACTAGTTGGCGACAATGTCTCTATATACTCCTCCTCAGTATATTCCAGTTCAAAACGGTATCCTCTACCGTCAAACTCAAAGTCCAATATGTCCTCCTCAAGAATCCACCTTTCGTATTCCATTTTCAGAGTTTTTTAAAGTGTTTAACAGAGACGTTAGCACCTCGACGTCGGAGTACACAGAGTGAAGCAGAAACACTTGGGCCTTGCGAAAAAACTACAACTAAGCGTAAACAGGCCCCCTTTCCGTTTCCGGTGGCGGAGGGATATTGACTATTCCAACAGAACTCAATGGGATTTACAAAATGCTAAATAAAACACTACAGGAACGTTTTTTCTTTACGAAACTTGTTTTTGAACGTCATTGAACAGGGTTGATGACCCGGTGAGTAGCATATTTTAAAAAAAGAACGTTTAAGGTTGTTTTAAGGACATTATCGGACATGCACTATGGAAGCCATTCTGAAGCAGCCAGGGGGGGATTCTGCATGAGCCAAATAGCCGAGACAGGACCAATCGTCAAAATTTTGGTGTCGATCATTCGACTTCATCCTGGACACTACAGAAAAGGGGCTAAAAGTGTTAAAAAACTGAATTTTCCTTTAATATTAACCAGCAGCTACTTCAGGTTTTATTTCCAATAAAAACTAGTAGACGGGTTGGTTTAAAAAAAAAGATGACACCGAAAAAGTCGTCAGACATACGGAGCTTTTTCAACAAAAAAAAGCAACTGAGTCTAAGCAGCCTCGGAAATGAGTATTGTAATGCCATAAGTTCGACTAAAGCAGCTGTTTAAATACTTTGTTCTTTGCTAGTTTGAAAAAAGCAAAACATCTCAGTTTTCCTGTTTTTATTTGTTAATAATGTACAGGTGTACACCTGTTGCTTTGGACTACCTGTCCCCATTTTGACCACCTGTCCATGTTTTAGAGCAGGCATCCCCGAAGTGGGTCCTGGAGGGCCGACATCCTGCTGATTTACAGGCTTTTGCTGAACTGCAATGACCAGAATCAGCTGTCGAGGACCCGTTTATAGATGCCTGCTTTAGACCAAACATCCCCGTTTTGAACCGCCTGTGTCCCTTCAAAGAAGGACAGATTGTCCAAACCCAGGGGAGATGGTCCAACAGATCTAACACAAGCCAGGGCCGTGGTTTCTAAATGTTTCATACCGTTATTATCCTTAGAAAATGTGGGCTAACAGGCAAGCTAGCAGCTATAGCAGGCTAGCGCTGTTGATGCTAACGTGTTTTCAGGGTTATTTTCAGACTGTCTGTCTCTATTAGCTCATCCTCTGTTAGCCAGTCTGCTGATTTAAAGGTTCCTAAATCATTGCATCATTTTCTAGGGCCAGTGGGGGAAAAAAAAGTTAACTGATTTTTTAATTTTATTTCAGTTTAGTATGGGAAAAAAGTCAGAATTCTGAGGAAAAAAGTCAGAATTCTGAGAAAAAAAGTCAGAATTCTGTCTTTTTTCCTCAGAATTCTGACTTTTTTCCAATGTTAAACTGAAATAAAATTTAAAAATCAGTTAACTTTTATTTTTTTCAGTGGCCCTAATCCTCTTCCGTAATTTTCTGATGATTACATGACATTAAAATTTAATGTTCAATCTTTTTTTTCTTTTAGATCGATTGGTTGTGTTTATTGAGCTCACAATGGAGAAATTTACTCGTTACATCGTATTAAAGTGGAGGTCTTCAACAGGGGGTCTGTGACCCCTAGGGGTCCACAGAGGTACTGCATGGGGGTCGCAAAAGTTTTGGTTGATTACTTTTTTTTTATATTCCCCCCTGCAATTTTTTCCACTAATTGAAATGTCTTTAAATCCACATGAACATGAATTCAACAGACTGTAGTAAACAGATAAATGGAGGCAGAAGATGTCTTTCAGTCATCAATGCACAGTGGCGGTACTAGACCGAATGTACCAGGGGGCCGGGAGGGGGCCAGGAGGGGGACAGTGTGTTTCCATGGGGAACAGAAAAGCATGGAATAAAAAAAACAGAGTAAGGGATTCAAATATATTAATAGAGCTGCATGAAGTGACATTTTTATTCAATTAAGTTTATAATGTTATGTCTTATTAGGTCAATATACATTCAGAATGTAGGAATTTCACATATTTTTGAATTAATTTTAGGTAAAATAACCGTTTTCTACAAAATCTGAATTAGAACTCAAGAAAATCTGATAAATTCTGCCATAAAAATTGGAGCAATTTGTTTGAAAAAAAACATTTAGCAGATGAAAACTAGGATCCTATCTCAGCACCACTGAAGCTATCACCTTATTGTTGTAAAATAATTAGAAATACAGAGTTTGTGAAGAAAAAGAGTGAAACAGATCCAAAGGACGTATCAGGCCATAACAGGGGCCAGGACATGATCTTCAGGGGCACTGGCCCCCATTGGCCCCTGTGTAGAACCACCCATGATCAATGCAGCCGCATGGTACGGTGTGGTACCTGTTCTAAAGAGCAGTGCATAGCCAGCCGAATGTTTCCAGGTCTGGGGGGGGGGGACCTCTGAGGAACTGAGAGGCTTTCAGCTCCAACTAAACTGAATTATGAGGGTAAATGCTGCCTGGTCCTGCAGGCATGGATGGGGATCAGGTTACAGATGTCAGAGACTGCTTGCTTTGCAGCTACTGCTTGGCAGCTACTGATTAGCATCTACTGCTTAGCAGCTACTGATTAGCAGCTACTGATTAGCATCTACTGCTTAACATCTACTGCTTAGCAGCTACTGCTTAGCAGCTACTGATTAGCAGCTACTGCTTAGCAGCTACTGATTAGTAGCTACTGATTAGCAGCTACTGATTAGCAGCTACTGCTTAGCAGCTACTGATTAGCACCTACTGATTAGCAGCTACTGCTTGGCAGCTACTATTTGGCATCTATACTGCTTAGCATCTACTGTTTAGCATCTACTGCTTAGCAGCTACTGCTTAGCAGCTACTGCTTGGCAGCTACTATTTGGCATCTATACCGATTAGCATCTACTGCTTGGCAGCTACTGCTTGACAGCTACTGAATAGCAGCTACTGCTTAGCAGCAACTAATTAGCAGCTACTGATTAGCAGCTACTGATTAACAGCTACTATTTGGCAGCTAATATTTGGCAGCTTCTATTTGGCATCTATACTGCTTAGCATCTACTGCTTAGCATCTACTGCTTAGCAGCTACTGCTAAGCAGGTACTGCTAAGCAGGTACTGCTTGGTAGCTACTGCTTGGCAGCTACTGCTTGGCAGCTACTGATTGGCACTTACTGCTTAGCAGCTACTGATTAGCAGGTCATCCAGGATCTACTGCTTAGCAGCTACTGCTTAGCAGCTACTGATTAGCAGGTCATCCAGGATCTACTGCTTAGCAGCTACTGCTTAGCAGCTACTGATTAGCAGGTTATCTAGCAGCTGCTCCTCAGCAGCTAATGGTTAGCTGGTCCTGGTTAGGGGATACCAGTGTCTAGCTACTGGTAAGCAGTTTGTGGTTCGCAGGTCCTGGTTAGCAGCTACTGATTAGCAGCTACCGATTAGCAGTTACCGATTAGCAGCTACTGGTTAGCAGCTACTGGTTAGCAGCTACCGATTAGCAGCTACCGATTAGCAGCTACTGCTTAGCACCTACTGGTTAGCAGCTACTTGTTACCAGGTCCTGGTTAGCAGCTACCGATTAGCAGCTACTGCTTAGCAGCTACTGGTTAGCAGCTACTGATTAGCAGCTACTTGTTACCAGGTGCTGGTTAGCATCTACTGATTAGGAGCTACTTGTTACCAGGTCCTGGTTAGCAGCTACTGATTAGCAGCTACCGATTAGCATCTACTGCTTAGCAGCTACTGGTTAGCAGGTCCTGGTTAGCAGCTACTGGTTAGTAGGTGGTGTTATTTGAGGCAGATCTTAGAACTGATGAGCAGCAGTAGTTTCAGCTCAGTGGCTCCACCTTCAGGATGAAGCAGTAAAGTGACCGATGGTGCACTAATGGCAGCTGAACTCAGCTGAAGGTGAACCATGAAGGACGTTACCTTCACGTTGTCTGGGTGGAGACCTCCTGGGTGTTTGTCCATGTACTGACACAGGTCAGTGTGCTGCAACAGAGAACAGAGCAGAAGACATGATCAGAACCCGTTTCCATGGCAACAGCTAAAAACCATGACGATGAGGAGAAGAACCCCAGAGGGGAGCTGTCCTCTAATATATTCTGTTTAGATTGAGTTGCGATGGAGGGGAACCATGACAGGATGAAGGCGCTTCCTGGTTTGGTACGGTGGCCCCGCAGACCCAAACAGGCTTCATCCAGAGTCCCTCTGTATTTCCAGAGCTCGTTTAAATATTTATAAACTTGTTTATGAATGTTTGATGTAAACACAGACCTCCAGGCTCTGGTGCTTCGGTCTTCTTCATGAAGGTGCTGATGGAACATAAGTGAAGGAGAGACTGAGGAGGAGGGAATGTCTCTGATGCAGAAGCTTTTAAATAACCTCCTGCTATCGCTGTAGTTCAGAGCTGAGGACAGAAGCTGGCTCTAACTGGAAACATCTAATATTATAGATCATGTTTGTTCAGACTGGCTCCTGATCGACTGAGGAGGAGCAGAACCAGAGGGCCGACCTTTGACCTTCCAGTCAGGATGAACGCCCAGCTCTGCTGCATTAGCTTCTCTGTCAGAAGCTGCTCCCGTTCTATAAAGACGTTCAAACGTGTAGATCGGTAGTTCCATCAGGCTGTGGTTCCGATCCGTTTGGTTAGAGCCTAGAACCGTCTCCTTAGCAGTTACTGGACCTGCTGGCAGCGTCCCGGCGGTTTGTACCTCAGCCTGCTCCTTCGGGAGGAGGAGGTGCTGGTTCAGGAGCCTCAGAGGCTCCTGCTCCTCTAAACCACATCAGCTGGGTGGAAACCTGGAGTTCTAGTGCAGAGCTTTGGTCAGGGACGTCTGGACACAGACGCTGGTGTGGGTCTGACCGGAACGCCGAACTCAGACCAACCCTGGAGAACTGCTCCTGACCAGCAGCTGGAAGCAGACGTTCCCTATAGCTCATCCCAGCAGACGAAGAACATAGATGTCCCAGCGCAGCAGCCTGCTCCACAGAGCCGCCTCTACTCACCGTGGGGCCCAGGGCTGGAGAGACCACACAGCCCCCACTTTAAAGGGAGGCCTGGTTACTCAGAGGAAAGAAAAACCCAGGTCCAAATCCTGATCCAAACCCAGGAGGAGCTGGGAACAGAACCAGATGTGTTGCTTCACATCGTGACTGTCCCAGCAGCAGCAGTTTACAGCGAGGTCAGGAAATCAGCCGCAGATTGGTCTGACATGGAGTCAGGCTATCAGCCCACTGTGGGGCGGCACTATGTGGCGTCCATGGGTGGGCTCATCTTCATTACTTCAGTTTCACTGAGTAAAACATGAGCTGCTGTTTTACGTCAGCATCAGATTATCAGGTGGGAGCAGAACCATAACGGCTGGCAGTGGAACATCTTAACAGCGTCTTTAGTCCACAGCTGGGCTGAGAGACATGAAAACCTGAGGCGCTCACTCACCACATACTCAAACACCAGCGTCAGGGTTTCCTTGGTGTGGATGATGTCATGGAGGAGCACAATGTTGGCGTGCTTCAGGCCTTTCAGAAGAGACGCTGTAAAGGGAGAAGAGCAGATGGAGACGTGATGATGGAGCCCACAGGATGATCTGACTAACTCAGCACCAAATACCGGTTCCACTTTACAACCGCCACCATTTCTAACCGGTAAAGAGTCCTTTAATGAAGAGAGGCTAGGCTAACCTGGCAGGAGCGCTTTACCTTTTACAGCTGGGTTAGATGCAGATTATTAACCATTATAAAACACTAATAAACTGGTAACCATGCATATCTTTACCGTTTATAAACAATGTTTATTGTAAAGTGTTCCCCCAACATCTGCTGAACATCTGTCAGTGTCTCTATTTCAGGTACGGCCTTCACTGTTAGATCCTATTCAGATCCATGGCATCTGCTCTGAGCTACAGTCACTGACTGAGGAACATCTGAAAGGGAAACCATGGAGCAACCAGGAAGCCCCGCCTCCCTGCAGACTCACAGGTTCATCAGCTGACATTAGAAAGAGGAATCAGTGGGATTCTGTTCAAACTTTAGAGCAAAATCAGCTCAGCTTAGAACAGGTGACTCATTTAGCAGTCACTGTGTGATGGGACGCTGGCTGCTGGCAGCTCCTCATGCACTCACCCTTCATCAGAAGCTAAAGCAGATCAAAGCAGGACTCCCTGCTGCACAGTGAGGACCAAACTCCAGGAACCTGCAGAGATGCGTACCATCTGATGGACATGACACTCAGGCTGTGCTAGCTGTGGAGGCTAATGCTGGTCACATATCTGCTCTGCGGGCTCTAATCCAGAAACTGCTAAGTTAGTTCAATTTCCCAGCTCTGATGTGATCCGCTGTCTGGGAGAGGCAGGCGTCCTCTGCTTCATTTCCCTTCCAGCTGGGTGTGTGAGGAGAGGCAGAGCTCCAGCAGTCAGTTATTTAAAACAGTCAGTAAATGGTTCATTTAACTAAACCCTCAATCCCTCATTATAGACCACCTTCCATCTTTGGAGATTGACTTTTTAAAAGTTGCAACACAAACGCTTAATGTCGACAAATCATGACAGAAAGAATATTTTAGTACAAAGATTGATGTTTAAAAAGGAATTGTAGGGGACGAACTAAGGATCAACCAAGGACCAGTTAGGGACCAACCAAGGACCAGCCAAGGACCAGTTAGGGACCAACCAAGGACCAGCCAAGGACCAGTTAGGGACCAACCAAGGACCAACCAAGGACCAGCCATGGACCAGTTAGGGACCAACCAAGGAACAGCCAAGGACCAGTTAGGGACCGAACAAGGACCAGTTAGGGACCAACCAAGGACCAGTTAGGGACCAACCAAGGACCAACCAAGGACCAGCCATGGACCAGTTAGGGACCAACCAAGGAACAGCCAAGGACCAGTTAGGGACCGAACAAGGACCAGTTAGGGACCAACCAAGGACCAGTTAGGGACCAACCAAGGACCAGTTAGGGACCAGCCAAGGACCAGTTAGGGACCAGCCAAGGACCAACCAAGGACCAGCCATGGACCAGTTAGGGACCAACCAAGGAACAGCCAAGGACCAGTTAGGGACCGAACAAGGACCAGTTAGGGACCAACCAAGGACCAGTTAGGGACCAACCAAGGACCAGTTAGGGACCAGCCAAGGACCAGTTAGGGACCAACCAAGGACCAACCAAGGACCAGCCATGGACCAGTTAGGGACCAACCAAGGACCAGTTAGGGACCAACCAAGGACCAGTTAGGGACCAGTTAGGGACCAACCAAGGACCAACCAAGGACCAGTTAGGGACCGAACAAGGACCAACCAAGGACCAGTTAGGGATTAACCAAGGACCAGTAAGGGACCAACCAAGGACCAGTTAGCGACCAGCCAAGGACCAGCCAAGGACCAGTTAGGGACCAGTTAGGGACCAACCAAGGAACAGCCAAGGACCAGTTAGGGACCGAACAAGGACCAACCAAGGACCAGTTAGGGACCGAACAAGGACCAGCCAAGGACCAGTTAGGGACCGAACAAGGACCAGCCAAGGACCAGTTAGGGACCAACCAAGGACCAGTTAGGGACCAACCAAGGACCAGTTAGCGACCAGCCAAGGACCAGTTAGCGACCAGCCAAGGACCAACCAAGGACCAGTTAGTGACCAGCCAAGGACCAGTTAGGGACCAGTTAGGGACCAACCAAGGAACAGCCAAGGACCAGTTAGGGACCGAACAAGGACCAACCAAGGACCAGTTAGGGACCAACCAAGGACCAGTTAGGGACCAACCAAGGACCAGTTAGCGACCAGCCAAGGACCAGTTAGGGACCAACCAAGGACCAGTTAGGGACCAGCCAAGGACCAACCAAGGACCAGCCATGGACCAGTTAGGGACCAACCAAGGAACAGCCAAGGACCAGTTAGGGACCGAACAAGGACCAGTTAGGGACCAACCAAGGACCAGTTAGGGACCAACCAAGGACCAGTTAGGGACCAGCCAAGGACCAGTTAGGGACCAACCAAGGACCAACCAAGGACCAGCCATGGACCAGTTAGGGACCAACCAAGGACCAGTTAGGGACCAACCAAGGACCAGTTAGGGACCAGTTAGGGACCAACCAAGGACCAACCAAGGACCAGTTAGGGACCGAACAAGGACCAACCAAGGACCAGTTAGGGATTAACCAAGGACCAGTAAGGGACCAACCAAGGACCAGTTAGCGACCAGCCAAGGACCAGCCAAGGACCAGTTAGGGACCAGTTAGGGACCAACCAAGGAACAGCCAAGGACCAGTTAGGGACCGAACAAGGACCAACCAAGGACCAGTTAGGGACCGAACAAGGACCAGCCAAGGACCAGTTAGGGACCGAACAAGGACCAGCCAAGGACCAGTTAGGGACCAACCAAGGACCAGTTAGGGACCAACCAAGGACCAGTTAGCGACCAGCCAAGGACCAGTTAGCGACCAGCCAAGGACCAACCAAGGACCAGTTAGTGACCAGCCAAGGACCAGTTAGGGACCAGTTAGGGACCAACCAAGGAACAGCCAAGGACCAGTTAGGGACCGAACAAGGACCAGTTAGGGACCAACCAAGGACCAGTTAGGGACCAACCAAGGACCAGTTAGGGACCAGCCAAGGACCAGTTAGGGACCAACCAAGGACCAACCAAGGACCAGCCATGGACCAGTTAGGGACCAACCAAGGACCAGTTAGGGACCAACCAAGGACCAGTTAGGGACCAGTTAGGGACCAACCAAGGACCAACCAAGGACCAGTTAGGGACCGAACAAGGACCAACCAAGGACCAGTTAGGGATTAACCAAGGACCAGTAAGGGACCAACCAAGGACCAGTTAGCGACCAGCCAAGGACCAGCCAAGGACCAGTTAGGGACCAGTTAGGGACCAACCAAGGAACAGCCAAGGACCAGTTAGGGACCGAACAAGGACCAACCAAGGACCAGTTAGGGACCGAACAAGGACCAGCCAAGGACCAGTTAGGGACCAACAAGGACAAGTGGGACCAGCCATGGACCAGTTAGGGACCAACCAAGGACCAGTTAGGGACCAGCCATGGACCAGTTAGGCGACCAACCAGGAACAGCCAAGGACCAGTTAGGGACCGAACAAGGACCAACCAAGGACCAGTTAGGGACCGAACCAAGGACCAACTAGAGGACCAGTTAGGGACCAACCAAGGACAGTTAGGACCAGCCAAGGACCAGTTAGGGACCGAACAAGGACCAACCAAGGACCAGTTAGGGACCATCCAAGGACCAGTTAGGGACCAACCAAGGACCAGTTAGGACCAACCAAGGACCAGTTAGCGACCAGCCAAGGACCAGTTAGGACGCAAGGCCTTAGGACCGAACAAGGACCAGCAAGGCCAGTTAGCGACCAGCCAAGGACCAGTTAGGGACCGAACCAAGGACCAGCCAAGGACCAGTTAGGGACCGAACAAGGACCAGCCAAGGGACCAGACTAGGGACCGACAAGGACCAGCCAAGGACCAGTTAGGGACCAGCCAAGGACAAGCCAGGACCAACCAAGGACCAACTAATGACCAGTTAGGAACCAGTTAGGGACACCAGTAGGAACCAGTTAGGAATAGAGTGAATAAACCTAACACAAGTCAGTTTACTTCATCGAACAGAAATTAGGGACATGGATATTTGTGAGTGTTTAACAAGAACATCCACGGATCATCATCCGGGCGGTCTGTCAACAATGGACAGATATTTTACCTAATTTGAGACATTAATAAAGTCCCAGACAGTTGAAACGAGGACATACTTTAATTTCGGCCTGCTTAGTTCACAAATTAAGATGATCTTTTTGATTCGTCTGAATTTGACATCCAGTTAGTGGCCGTATGCTGACGCGATCTAAAACCATCGGTCATCAGCATACATAATGATTCAATAATGGAAGCGACCGACCATGAGCATCTACAGGGTCATCATATCAAAATTAAACAACATTAGGAGATAAATGCTGCTTGTCTGACTCCACTGTGACACAAAGGAAGGACACACTGCAGAGTCTGAGTCCAATAGGAAGACATTTACTATATATTGGCACACCATTAGTACAATTAAAATAGTTTATGACTAACAGGATCAAAAGCCTTGTGGCATCTAAAAACTGAAGAGTAGAATGTTTGCTGTTTTATTCAGTATTCTTCTAAGGCCATTTATACCATCAGTGCCAATTGGACCAACTTATGCAAAACAATTAGTTCAAAGACTTTAGCAATGGTACTAGCTAGGGCTATAGGGTCTATGGTTATCAGGGCCTAATTTATTTTGTTTTAATACATTCCAAGGTTAGGGAAAACAACAAGGAATAATAAAACCAATTGAGACACAAGAGAGGACTAGCTTAGGTCTCAAACATTAGAGATGTTCAGCTGCAACAAACACCATTCTGTAGGATTTCATTAACAAGAGATCTTTATGAAGATAGATCTTGGGATGTTGATGGATACTAGAGAACTACCAATCTAGAAGGGTTAACCCAAACAAGGTAAATAACTTCCAAGACATTACGAATCACATCACAGGAAGCCAAACCGACAGGACCTATTTATGGTTTTAGCCTACCAGAAGGATTTGCCAAGGATCAGGCCTGAGTTAGCTCATCCAGTCTGAAGTGACCCGTACTACGTGGGAGGTGCAGAGTATGGGTCATTGTTTAGTTACCACCCGTATGGCTGTGAAGGTGTTCCAACCTCTCCTGGCAGACGGACTCACCAAGGGCACCAGTTCCGTTCACTCTGATGGACCAGTCAGGCAAAAAAGGAGCATCATCAGCGTCCCCATTAGGTCACAACAGGAGCAAAGACAGGAGGACCTGAAACAGGAAAACAAGTACGCAGTTAGGGACTCGAACAAGGACCAACCAAGGACCAGTTAGGGACCAACCAAGGACCAGTTAGGGACCAGCCAAGGACCAGTTAGGGACCAACCAAGGACCAGTTAGGGACCAGCCATGGACCAGTTAGGGACCAACCAAGGAACAGCCAAGGACCAGTTAGGGACCGAACAAGGACCAACCAAGGACCAGTTAGGGACCGAACAAGGACCAACCAAGGACCAGTTAGGGACCAACCAAGGACCAGTTAGGGACCAGCCAAGGACCAGTTAGGGACCGAACAAGGACCAACCAAGGACCAGTTAGGGACCAACCAAGGACCAGTTAGGGACCAACCAAGGACCAGTTAGGGACCAACCAAGGACCAGTTAGCGACCAGCCAAGGACCAGTTAGCGACCAGCCAAGGACCAGTTAGGGACCGAACAAGGACCAGCCAAGGACCAGTTAGCGACCAGCCAAGGACCAGTTAGGGACCGAACAAGGACCAGCCAAGGACCAGTTAGGGACCGAACAAGGACCAGCCAAGGACCAGTTAGGGACCGAACAAGGACCAGCCAAGGACCAGTTAGGGACCAGCCAAGGACAAGCCAAGGACCAACCAAGGACCAGCTAATGACCAGTTAGGAACCAGTTAGGGACCAGTTAGGAACCAGTTAGGAATAGATGTAGAATAAAACCTAAACAAGTTCAGTTTCACTTCATCAGAACAGAAACTTAGGGACATGGATATTTGCTGAGTGTTTAACATTCGAACATCACGGCATCATCATCCGACGGTCTGTCAACACATGGACAAGATATTTTTACCTAATTTGAGACATTCAATAAAGTCCCAGACAGTTTGAAACGAGGACATACTTTATTTCTGTCCTGCTTAGTTTCACAAATTAAGATGATGCTTTTTGATTCGTTGAATTTGACATCCAGTAGTTGGCCGTATGCTGGACAGCTGATCTAAAACCACTCGGTCATCAGCATACATTTAATGATTAATAATGGAAGCGCCGACCATGCAGCCAGTTCTACAGGCGTCATTTATATCAAAATTAAACAACATAGGAGATAAAATGCTGCCTTGTCTGACTCCACTGCTGACACAAAGGAAGCAGACACACCTGCAGAGTCTGAGTCCCAATAGGAAGACATCTTACTATATATTTGGGCACACCAGTTTAGTACAATTTTTAAAATAGTTTTCTATGATAACAGGATCAAAAGCCTTGTTGGCATCTAAAAAACTGAAAGACGTAGAATGTTTGCTGTTATTATTCAGTAATTCTTTTAGGCCATTTATACACATCAGTGCCAAGTTTGGACCCAAACTTATGGCAAAAAAATTAGTTCAAAGACTTTAGACAATGTACTAGCTAGGGCTATAGGTCTATGGTTATCAGAGCTGCTAATTTTATTTTGTTTTAATCACATTCATCAAGGTTTGAGGAATAAAACCAGGAATAATAAAACCAATGAAACACAATGAGAGGGACTATGCTTGGTCTCAAACATTAGAGATGTTCAGCTGCAATAACATCCATTCCTGTAGATTTATTAACAGACAGATCTTTGATTAAGATAGATCTTGGGTGTTTTGATGGATTCTAGAGAACTAACCAATCTAGAAGGGTTAACCCCAAACACAGGTAAATAACTTTCCAAAAATCTACAATCACATTCACCCAGGAAGCCAAACCGACAGGATTTCCTATTATTAATGGTTTTAAGCTCTTTCCAGAAGGATTTTCTGCCAAGGAATCAGGCCTGATGTTAGCTCATCCTGTCTGATGAAGCGTAGCCCCGATACGTACGGTGGGAGGTGCAGAGTGATGGGGGTCAGTTTGTTTCAGTTACCTTCCCGTATGGCTGTGAAGGGTGTTCCCTCCTCCTCCTGCAGACGGATCACTTTCAGGGCCACCAGCTTCCCGTTCACTCTGATGACATCACAGCAAAAAAAGGAGCATCATCAGCGTCTCCATTAGGTCACAACAGGAGCAAAGACAGGAGACTTAAACCCAGGAAAAGCAATTTAGCTGCAGCGAAGTGAGACTTTGGTACAAGAGCAGGACTGCAGCTGACTGACCTGCAGAGCTAAACAAGCATCAATGGTGAGAAGATGCAGCTCAGCAGCTCTGTAACTTTTCTAAACGATTCATTAAGAAAATCTGGGAGATAGAAGAGAAGTAAAGGCCTTCTGGGCTAACTGGACCAAAGGCAACAGCTGGGATAAAACCAGGCCTGGCCACCATCATCAGTTTCATTTACTGTACTCAGTTCCAGGCGCGGCAGGAAAACTAATCAATGGCCGCATGCATGGGTTGAGGAAGCAGGCGAGCACTGAATGAAGCAGGGATTCATCCTGCTTGCTACTTACTTGCTCTTGCCTTTGTAAACGGTGGCGTATGAACCCTCCCCCAGCTTCTCCAGCTTCTCATAGGAGTCGGCCTTTCCAAACTTGGGGCTTGTGGGCTGAGAAAGGAAGAGAGAAAAAAATCAGATGTGAGGAAGAAGAAAAGACGAGAGAAGAAACGCCTCTGAGGAACATTTCAGATCAGAGAGACGGAGCTGAGAAGGTTTGCCCCGATTCATCAGGATGGGAAGAACTTCAATAAGCTAAAAAAACGCTCTGAGCCGGTACCACAGTAACACCCTGAGCTGGTACCACCAACCGCTCTGTGCCGGTACCACAGTACCACCAACCAATCTGAGCCGGTACCACGGTACCATAAACTGCCCTGAGCTGGTACCACGGTACCACCAACCACACTGAGATGGTACCATCAACTGCCCTGAGCTGGTACCACCAACCGCTCTGAGCTGGTACCACCAACCGCTCTGAGCTGGTACCACCAACCACCCTGAGCTGGTACCACCAACCGCTCTGAGCTGGTACCACCAACCACCCTGAGCTGGTACCACCAACCACCCTGAGCCGGTACCACCAACCACCCTGAGCCGGTACCACGGTACCATAAACTGCCCTGAGCTGGTACCACGGTACCTTCAACCACCCTGAGATGGTACCATCAACCGCCCTGAGCTGGTACCACGGTACCACCAACCACACTGAGACGGTACCACCAACCGCCCTGAGCCGGTACCACCAACCGCCCTGAGCCGGTACCACCAACCGCCCTGAGACGCTACCACCAACCGCCCTGAGACGCTACCACCAACCGCCCTGAGACGCTACCACCAACCGCCCTGAGACGCTACCACCAATCGCCCTGAGACGCTACCGCCGACCGCCCTGAGCCGGTACCGCCGACCGCCCTGAGCCGCTACCGCCGACCGCCCTGAGACGCTACCGCCGACCGCCCTGAGCCGGTACCGCCGACTGCCCTGAGCCGCTACCGCCGACCGCCCTGAGACGCTACCGCCGACCGCCCTGAGACACTACCGCCGACCGCCCTGAGACACTACCACCAACCGCCCTGAGACGATAACACCAACCGCCCTGAGACGGTACCACCAACCACACTGAGATGGTACCATCAACTGCCCTGAGCTGGTACCACCAACCACCCTGAGCTGGTACCACCAACCGCTCTGAGCTGGTACCACCAACCGCTCTGAGCTGGTACCACCAACCACCCTGAGCTGGTACCACCAACCACCCTGAGCTGGTACCACCAACCACCCTGAGCTGGTACCACCAACCACCCTGAGCCGGTACCATGGTACCATAAACTGCCCTGAGCTGGTACCACGGTACCTTCAACCACCCTGAGCTGGTACCACCAACCACCCTGAGCTGGTACCACCAACCGCTCTGAGCTGGTACCACCAACCACCCTGAGCTGGTACCACCAACCGCTCTGAGCTGGTACCACCAACCGCTCTGAGCTGGTACCACCAACCACCCTGAGCTGGTACCACCAACCACCCTGAGACGGTACCACGGTACCATAAACTGCCCTGAGCTGGTACCACGGTACCTTCAACCACCCTGAGATGGTACCATCAACCGCCCTGAGCTGGTACCACGGTACCACCAACCACACTGAGACGGTACCACCAACCGCCCTGAGACGCTACAAACCAACCGCCCTGAGCCGGTACCACCAACCGCCCTGAGACGGTACCACCAACCGCCCTGAGACGGTACCACCAACCGCCCTGAGCCGGTACCACCAACCGCCCTGAGACGCTACCACCAACCGCCCTGAGACGGTACCACCAACCGCCCTAAGCCGGTACCACCAACCGCCCTGAGACGCTACCACCGACCGCCCTGAGCCGGTAACACCGACCGCCGTGAGCCGCTACCGCCGACCGCCCTGAGACGCTACCGCCGACCGCCCTGAGACACTACCACCAACCGCCCTGAGACGGTAACACCAACCGCCCTGAGACGGTACCACCAACCACACTGAGATGGTACCACCAACCACCCTGAGCTGGTACCACCAACCACCCTGAGCTGGTACCACCAACCACCCTGAGCCGGTACCACGGTACCATAAACTGCCCTGAGCTGGTACCACGGTACCTTCAACCACCCTGAGATGGTACAATCAACCACCCTGAGCTGGTACCACGGTACTACCAACCGCCCTAAGACGGTACCACCAACCGCCCTGAGACGCTACCACCAACCACCCTGAGGCCCTACCACCAGCCGCCCTGAGACCGCCCTGAGACGCTACCACCAACCGCCCTGAGACGCTGCCACCAACCGCCCTGAGACCCTACCACCAGCCGCCCTGAGACCGCCCTGAGACCCTACCACCAACCGCCCTGAGCCGGTACCACCAACCCTCCTGAGCCCGTACCACCAACCCTCCTGAGACGGTACCACCAACCCTCCTGAGCCGGTACCACCAACCGCCCTGAGACGGTAACACCAACCGCCCTGAGACCCTACCACCAGCCGCCCTGAGACCGCCCTGAGACCCTACAACCAACCGCCCTGAGCCGGTACCACCAACCCTCCTGAGCCCGTACCACCAACCCTCCTGAGACGGTACCACCAACCCTCCTGAGCCGGTACCACCAACGCTCCTGAGCCGGTACCACCAACCGCCCTGAGACGGTAACACCAACCGCCCTGAGACGCTACCACCAACCGCCCTGAGACGGTAACACCAACCGCCCTGAGACGCTACCACCAACCGCCCTGAGCCGGTACCACCAACCGCCCTGAGCCGCTACCACCAACCGCCCTGAGACGCTACCACCAACCGCCCTGAGACGCTACCACCAACCGCCCTGAGCCGCTATCACCAACCGCCCTGAGCCGGTACCACCAACCCTCCTGAGACGGTACCACCAACCCTCCTGAGCCGGTACCACCAACCGCCCTGAGCCGGTACCACCAACCCTCCTGAGCCGGTACCACCAACCGCCCTGAGACGGTACCACCAACCGCCCTGAGACGCTACCACCAACCGCCCTGAGCCGGTACCACCAACCCTCCTGAGACGGTACCACCAACCCTCCTGAGCTGGTACCACCAACCGCCCTGAGCCGGTACCACCAACCGCCCTGAGCCGGTACCACCAACCCTCCTGAGCCGGTACCACCAACCGCCCTGAGACGGTGACACCAACCGCCCTGAGACGCTACCACCAACCGCCCTGAGACCCTTCCACCAACCGCCCTGAGACCCTACCACCAACCGCCCTGAGACCCTACCACCAACCGCCCTGAGACCCTACCACCAACCGCCCTGAGCCGGTACCACCAACCGCCCTGAGCCGGTACCACCAACCGCCCTGAGACGGTACCACCAACCCTCCTGAGCCGGTACCACCAACCGCCCTGAGCCGGTACCACCAACCGCCCTGAGCCGGTACCACCAACCCTCCTGAGCCGGTACCACCAACCCTCCTGAGCCGGTACCACCAACCGCCCTGAGCCGGTACCACCAACCCTCCTGAGCCGGTACCACCAACCGCCCTGAGACGCAATCACCAACCGCCCTGAGACCGTACCACCAACCACCCTGAGCCGCTACCACCAACCGCCCTGAGCCGCTACCACCAACCGCCCTGAGACGGTACCACCAACCGCCCTGAGACGGTACCACCAACCGCCCTGAGACGGTACCACCAATCGCCCTGAGACGGTACCACCAACCCTCCTGAGCTGGTACCACCAACCCTCCTGAGCTGGTACCACCAACCGCCCTGAGCCGGTACCACCAACCCTCCTGAGCTGGTACCACTAACCGCCCTGAGCTGGCCATCCATTCTCTCTACCCAAACAGGAACCATATTATTCTGCCCAAAATTTACGAAATGTGTTTGAGTCTGTAATCATTATTAGTATATTTTTTTAAAACATCATTCCAAATATGATGCATGTTTTCCTCTAATACCAAGAAGGATCTTCATTGGCACATCATCATCATCATCATCATCATCACCACCATAAGCTCTGTTTAATTCTGAGCAGGTTTCTCCATGGTGCTCTGATGGTGTTGACCTCCCTCCCATCACCATAATCATCAGCTGCTTTCACAGCTTCTCTTTGAGTTTATTTCCATTAATATGAGGCCATAAAGCTGCTTCTACATTCACGCCTCTACGGGATCAGCAGGATGCTTCACACAGGGGTTGGTCAGCGCCGGGCCGCATGGCCTTCATCCTGCCATCTAAGCCCCGCCCAGCTCTAATGAGCTCAGCTTTTCTCAGAGCTTTTCTAAACAAATTAGACTTCCTCCTGGGATCAGGCAGGAAGTGAAGGATGTTCCTCTCTTGGTCTTCCTCCCATACAGACCCGGCCACATTCAGAGATTTAGAACTGCGCCAAAAGCCAGCATGAAAAAATATCACGTTTTAGTCCAAACATTAAATATTATATCAGAAAAGCACAAATATATTAAATATGATGGATGTTCAGATCCAATACAGATATTAGAACCTGACTGGTGCCAGAACCGGACCGATATCTGAACCTGTCCGATACCAGAAATAAAGATCTGAAATCTGGGCAGCATGTTCCCTCAGCATCCAACCAGAAAGCCTGTGGCTGGCGAGCCATCAGAGTATAAACCAGTCCACCATGTCTGAGAAGCCATGTCTGCTCCTCCCTCAGAACGTCACCATGAAGGTGAACGACCCAAACCCGGCTGCAGCTCTGGTTCCGTACCACCAGGTTCCATGTCTGCTCCTCCCTCAGAACATCACCATGAAGGTTTGTTCATCTAAGATGCCGACAGATGATCCTCCATGTCCTACAGGAGACGCTGTCCATCAGAAGGAAACCTGAACGACCCAAACCCGGCCGCAGCTCTGGTTCCGTACCACCAGGCTCCATGTCTGGTTCTACACCCGATAGAATCCCAGACTGGACCAAAGTCCTGGTTTGGTCCAGAACTGGACCCACATCTGGTGGTTCTGAAAGCAGGACTTACAGAACTGGGGCTGGAGTGGCGGCGCAGCTTGGGAGACTCTTTTCCAGATGACGAGCTCTTGGCGTTGATGCAGGCATTGTTCTCTGAATGGACCCTCTTCACCTGGCTGGCGGGTTTCTCGAACGGGTCGAAGCCACTCTGCGTGCGCTGAACTCTGACCTTTTTGTCCTCAGGGATGGTGTCCAGGGGTTTGATGACCGAGTCTGTTCCCTGGCAGCCGCGTGTGGACATCTTTGTGACGCATATCTGCCAAAGAGACAGAGAGCAGGATCAGAGTCAGGAACACAGAAATAGAGGGAAACCAGAGCGGACTGGACCGGACCAGGCTGTACCGGACCAGGCTGGACCGGACCAGGCTGGACAGGCTTCACCTGTGTGCCACAGGGTGTGGGTCTGTCGCTCCAGACAGAACCGCCATCACACGGAACCGCCATCACAGTCTCTAACAGAGCATCTTACCAGAGGCTGCTGCGCGGTGGACTCCGTGAGACGGACATAAAGGACTCGGGCAGCATGACATGTTTTTGCCACGGCTCCCTTCAGATTAAATATTTAAGCCGGGCTCCCGGCAGCAACTTCTAATTACTCTGACACACAGCAGGAGTCATCTTGCAGCTCATTGCTTTGTTGACTAACAGCCAGGCTTTCCCACGGCAACCCTTCCCTCACCTAAACGAAGCGATCAGGACATCAGCCGGACCCGATGACACTGCAGACCCGTTCTGGGTCCAGGTCCCTGAAACCAACTGAAGGAAAAGCTGAAGCTGACAGACATGCAGCTTGAGTCCAGCTCCGTTCATGTTTTAGTCATAGACCCAAAACGCCACCAACAAAGGAGCCTCTTTCCTCCAGCTAAATGCAGCTGCTAACAAAGTGTTACTCAGCATGTAACCAGCAACCAACCAAAGACAATGGACCCAGTTCAGTCCACCCCCTGTGTGTGTGTGTGTTGGGGGGGGGGGGGGGGGGGGGGGGTATAGTGATATAGATAGTTTCACGAGCCTGGCGAGGACTGCCACCATTTGCTTAGCAATACTCTCAGGAGATGTAAGGTTTCAGTTACAATCATTTAGGAATACCAAGAAAACCTTCTAAAACATCAGGGTAGAAATGACTAAAGATTTGCTCTAATGACTCGGGGACGGCCAGGTCTAGGAAGAGTTCTGCTCGTCCCAAACTGCTTCCATTGGAGGATGATGGAGCCACTGAGGAACCTGTTTAGGAACCTTGGCCTGATGTGAGCCTGGCCTCAGTCTCTGAGCTCCTTTCCTTCCCCCTCATGGTTCTGCTTTGCTCTGACAGCTCTTCTATAGACAGCTGTGCTCCTTTCCTCATCAGGTTCATTAAACACAGCTGGACCATCTGAAGGAGGATCAGAGGAACCGGACAGCATGAGAGTTAAATATGAGAGTCACAGCAAAGGGTCTGAAAACTTATGACCAGGTGATATTTCACTTTTTCTTTGAATGGATTTGCAAACATTTCTACATTTCTGTTTATTTCTGCCAGGATGGGGAGCTGAGTGAACATTAATAAGAAGTTAAATAAACTTTATTGATTTTAGCAAATAGCTGCAAAGAAACAAAGAGTGAGAAATTTAAAGGGGTCCAAATACTTTCCAATCCACTGTGTGTATATATATATATATATATATATATATATATATATATATATGCCTTTGGAGCATGACCTAAAGAAAGAATCCAATGTGCTAAAGTTGGTTAGCTTTCAGGCCCCAACAGTCTGCAAGTGAAACAGCCACTCAATCTATTCGTCTCTCTGGCGCTTTGACGTCTGACGCTCCTCCACCAGAGCCTAGAACTCGATCAGGCAGATGTCACTGATAGGAGCAAGCTTAGAAGTCGTGCTGGTGAGTCGGGTTTCCTAGAGAGCGTCCTCTTAGGTGTCCTTCCCTCGCTGAGTAAAAGTTGTTTGAAACGATCCGTTTCCTGCCTGTTGCTGAGATTCGTAGTAAACGCCTCAAACGTGGCGTCGCAGTGACAGAATCAGCAGCGTCACAACCCTGACCCCCTCACAGACCTTCAGCCTGGCTGCCTGCTCACAGTCAGCCATCCAGGTCAGAGAGCAACGGCTGCAGGAATCTACAACCATCATCTGCATCTCCACCTGCATGGATTCTTCCTGAGGAGGGACCTGCTGGCGACTCAGAGGAGCAGCCAGATGCAGGAGGGATGGGTGGGGGGTAGGGCCAGCGCCCCACAAAGATGACCCAGCAGCAACTGCACTGTTTTCTCATTTGTAATTAATGTTGGCGCGGCTGCAGCGACCCGCCGCCGCTCAGGGATCAGTTCGATTCATCTCGGCTCATAGCTGTCATCCAGTAATGGAGAATGTGGGCAGAAACACAGCAGGAAGTCCGGGCTAATTCAACTATTAGCATGAATGATGACCACCGCCATGGAGGCCATAAAACACCAATCAGCCATAAAGCCTGCAGCCGCGTTACAAGCAGCAGCTGTAGGAGGTGGTTTCCATCACACTGAGGTACCTGCTGCCGAGGCTGAAGCTCCTCCTCCTCCTCCTCACGTCGGCCTCTTCCTCAGAGTCTCAGTAGCAGAACAGCCCTGCATGCATGAGGCTGCATATGACGGCGCCTTAGGAGGCCCATAAGACGGCGAGGGCGGGGCTGAAGGTGAGTAACAATCAGAGTTTATCTCCAATCATGTGAAAGTTCAGAGCTAGCATCAGGTCCCAGCAGCTGCTCTACATTCAGCCACCTTCACCATCAAATAAGCTGCAGAGCAGAAATCAGCCATTAGCACCGACCGTTCTGCAGCTCCCTCTGCCTCTGCTCAGGCCGCCACGGATCATTGCACCAGCAGAACAACATTAAACACGTTTCAACACTTGATTTCTCACTCAAGCCCTTTAACAAAGGTCTGCTGCCTTGCAGGAAGGAAGAGCATAGATCCATGTATGCTAGACTGGAAAGGAGCCAGAGATGGGAGCTGATGGAGAATGATCTAAACTAGTGGCTACTTTGATGGAAGAAACGGATCTCTGGCAGAACTCCACAGACCAACTGAGAGGTTCTGGAAGCATTCGAGAGAACGGCGTGCTGGCTTCCGCACGCCATCAGCAGTCATGCAGCATGACTAATTACCCATCGCTGTCCGCTTCCTGCGGTCTGCCTCCTGCGGTCTGCCTCCTGCTGTCCGCTTCCTGCGGTCTGCCTCCTGCTGTCCGCTTCCTGCTGTCCACTTCCTGCGGTCTGCCTCCTGCTGTCCGCTTCCTGCTGTCCGCTTCCTGCTGTCCACTTCCTGCGGTCCGCCTCCTGCGGTCCGCCTCCTGCCGTCTGCCTCCTGCGGTCTGCTTCTTGCTGTCCGCTTCCTGCTGTCCGCTTCCTGCTGTCCGCTTCCTGCGGTCTGCTTCCTGCTGTCCGCTTCCTGCGGTCTGCCTCCTGCTGTCCGCTTCCTGCTTTCTGCTTCCTGCTGTCCGCTTCCTGCGGTCCGCTTCCTGTGGTCTGCTTCCTGCTGTCCGCTTCCTGCGGTCTGCCTCCTGCGCTCCGCTTCCTACGCTCCTCTTCCTCCGGTCTGCGTTCTGCAGTCCGCTTCCTGCAGTCCGCTTCCTGCTGTCCGCTTTTTGCGGTCCACTTCCTTCTGTCCGCTTCCTGCGGTCTGCTTCTTGCTGTCCGCTTCCTGTGGTCTGCTTCCTGCTGTCCGCTTCCTGCGGTCTGCCTCCTGCGCTCCGCTTCCTACGCTCCTCTTCCTCCGGTCTGCGTTCTGCAGTCCGCTTCCTGCTGTCCGCTTCCTGCGGTCCACTTCCTGTGGTCTGCCTCCTGCTGTCCGCTTCCTGCGGTCCGCATCATTGTTTTTCTGAAACAGACTAATTTGAAAGCAGCCAGAAAGCACCTCCTTCCAGCAGGAAGACCTCAGGTCTGTTAATGTTGAATGTTTTGGTAGGTGCAGTCATCGCGGTTTGATGGGGAAGGAAAACGCAGCTGTAGCGGTCATTAGACATCCAGTCCTGCGGATAACTGGAAAAGGTTTAAACATTTGGAGAACTTGGTGGAAAAAGATCGTCTTCTTGGCAGAAAGGATTCTTTCGGTCTTCCAGGTTTTTTTCCCTCCTCAGTTGCTTCTCCAGGACGTTGCTCCATGCTCTGCAGCCTCATCTTCTGGTCTCTGTGGATGTCAATGAACTGGGTCTGTCTTTTATTCTGAAGGATTCCTTCTGATTCCAGTGTTTCCAATCTGGCTTCAGTCCCGCCGTCCCGTCTCCTTCAGCTCCGCCGTCAGACCCACTGTGACCTTCCTCTCTGAGCATCTACCGTCTGGCAGAAGGAAACCAGATCCATTAATCCCAGGAATACATTTTCCTTGTTGCTGCAGAGACTTTTCATCATTTCTAACAAATCCTCCTCATTTTATCAGGTCAGAAATGATGAAGCTGAACTGGAACTGAAAACATCTGCAGATCGGAGCATTACCACGGCAACCTAGAGGGAGGAAGGAGAAGGAGGGATGCTGCTGATGGGCTGGGTCAGAACAACCCTCCATTGCTCCACCGTCCGCATCCCTTCATCCTCTACTGGGCAGGAGGTCACGGGGAGACAGAGACACGCCCCCACAGTCCGGAGGGCAACCTACAGTGAATCCACCAGATTAACACGCATGTTTGGACTGGGAAGAAACCAGTTGGTTCAGAGAAAAGCCACCATGGATCATCACACAGCAGATCATGTAAGGCGGCTTGTGAAGACTGCTGCCAGGTCCAGTAAACATTTCCTGGGTTTCCACTAGTGTTGCACCGATACTGATACCAGTACCGGGCGGGACCCCGATCCAGCATTAAGATGGTGGTATCGGTGAGGCATTCCTGACGGGCTTCCCAGCACCCAATTAACATCAGTCTATTAATTTGGATCCAAAAACAGAAACTCGGACATCAGTGACTGGTTTGGCCAGTTTCCCAGCAGCTCCGGCTTCAGCAGGCAATCACAGACTGGTCATGATGGGACTTACGGGCGACAGTGGCGTTGGATGTAGGAGTTTGCCCTGAAATCGAAGGGTTGACGGTTCAAGCCCTGACTCCGACTTTCAGTGTCGTTGTGTCCTTGGGCAAGACACTTCACCTGCATTGTCTACTGATGGTGGTCAGAGGGCCCGGTGGCGCCAGTGTACGGCAGCCCCGCTTCTGTCAGTGAGCCCCAGGGCAGCTGTCCACCATCAGTGTGTGAGTGAATGAATGTAGTGTAAAGCGCTTCGGTCAAGTCTCCTGACTTG